TGCTTTCAGTGAGACCATATTTGCCGCCTGGAAATGGGCTAAACGAATCAAATTGAGAAACCGGCTCTCATGGTGCAAGATTGGACTGAGTCCAGACACTATGATTGAAAGAAAGAGCCAAGTCACCCTCTTCTCGAACAAAACCCTAAATCAAACATGGATGGAATGGCCCTAAAGAGTCGTTCAAATCCCCTTTATCTGCCTCTCACAGGGTTTGCACCATTGACTCTTGCCTCGGGAGGTTTTCAATAAGACAAACTGCCAACCAATGGAAATCAAGCTCCGAATCAAGGATAAGCTCAGGAGCAGTATCTTTCTTGATAAAAGAGGGCGCAGGTCTATGATCTATAGGAGATGTTGTGCGAGTATATATAAAGGACCTCCTAAATGAAAAGGGATCTCAGTAATTAGTCCGAGAGTCGCTCCCCTTTCTAGGGTTAGAGCTGGAAAGGACAAGGCCTCTTACCCATCATGGTTACGATTGGTCCCCATCCATCGATACCACCACGCCAGGCTCAAGCAAAAGCCAAGAGATTCCCGAAAGGGTGATCAAAAGTAGAACACTAAGTATCGGTATCATACCTCTGGGAAGGCCAAGTGATAGTGAGAGTATAGTCTCTGCAAGGAGTGAGGCTCTTTTTCAAAGCAAAGCACTACTAGCTTGAAAGTAGACGGTGGGCTCTAAGGTGCCCCTGGTGTGGTAATGAAAAACCTGACTTAATGGGAGCAACGGGCATGGTTTGACGGCAAAGATCGAGTGAGAGGTTTCAAAGCAATCCCCAATTCCAAGACCCAATCACAACGTCAAGTGAAATTACCTCCAACACCCTACAACAACAGGGAACCGGGGAAACCCCTATCCATATCTAGTGTAAAATCTCACACTCTTCTCTTGACCGTCTCCTAAACATCCTCAAAGAAAGTCTGACTAAAGGATGTGCTCTCTTATACTTTTGATATTTCTTAATAGGAGTGAAAGAAAGCTAGACCAAAGGAAAATGGTCTTCTCCAAGCCTAAAGAACCATCTCCACTTGTAAAACCTTAGGCTTAGAATGAATGGATGATATTATTCACAGTTTTGTGCCTCGACCTGAACTGGACATTATCAAGAAAGTCTCATCGCTTTGGGGTACGGGAATTGTGCTATGGTTCACCGTGTGACCTGTTAAGAGAAATAAGGAAGCAAGTGGGGACGGATCAAGAAAGCATCTTTCTCTCCACCAGTTGTTTGAACTTCATGGCTGCCTTATAAAAGATGAGCTTGCGTCTGAGCCCATTTTCAGGCACAGCACACTGAGGAAAGAAATCACTGAGACTCCTTATGAGCACATCACCCATACGGAAACATGCTTCATAGTTTCACTTACGTACACATGATGGACAGATAAGGAAATCCACGTAATGGCTTCCTTCTAACAGGCAGCCTAAGCCTTACTCAAACAGCAAACAGACTTCTTTTCTTCCTTGTGGCTTTGTTGAAGTTATCCGATGTGTAAGTTGGCTATTTTGACACTGCTCAGTTCGTTCCAGGCCTCCTACTTAAGATGATATGACGAGCGACCTAACGAAGGTATGATTATTTGAGGTACTCTCAAAGGTCAAGCAATTGAGCCAGTTAAGACCTTGCATAATCCCTTCCCTTTTTATAAGCGGCTTGCAAAGTTCCCAATAGCTATCCAAATGAGAGTATTCACTCGGCCAGTTTCGTGGTTTTGGTAGGGTTGCTTCAGGCCTATAAACTAGTATTTCTAGGGCCATGAACTTCTTCTAAACTATATAAAGAAATATGGGTCGTAAAAGAAAGAATCACCATCAGGGCATCCCCATTAACAACTCAAACTACCGGTCAGCTTACCGCTTGGATCTGATTCTACACAACATTTGAGCTTGACATTCCCATGCCTGCAAGCCTTTCAATCCACTTTTGTTCACTCCTTTGAGCTTAGTGCCCGATGTCAAATAGGGGCTTTATTTAGTAGAACATCCATGGGACCTTTCTTCAAGGTTCCCACTTGCTTGAGGAAGGAAATTCGAACGTCAGAATTGCTTATAAAGAAGAAATAGCTTGCGTGGTCGGCCACTCCTTTTGATGTCTCGAAAAACTCTCTGACTCTTTCTCTTTTATCTTCTGAGGAAGAAACCTCACATGACTTGATAGAGCGCTATGAAGACCCCGCATGATGAAAAGATAGATATGAGACCTTTTGCCCAAGTAGCTGCTTCCGCTGCCAAAGCAAAGCTGGAACCCAAGATAAGAGAAAAAAGGAAGTAAAAGTTCCCTAATTGAGATCCTTATTTGCGTGATAACCAGGCAGAGTGCATCTATTACACTCACAGAATAGCAAGCATACCAAAGATTAGCACTACCATCACTTCCAGACACATGGAATTCAAAAGAGAAAGTGCAGTCGGATGGAGACTCAGATCCTATTTCAAAAGTGTTGTCTCCTATAGCAGCAAACCAGCTATTCTATTGGTTGATTGATGAACTACTCTGGCAAGGGTTTGAAGACGGATATAGAGAGAAGAACTTGGTAGATATGGAGACATCTTCTGAACGTGAAGGTAGTTGGCGCTTACAGGCTGACTTCTATAGTAGAGATTTCTTACGAGATTTCTGCTGTTTTAGTTCGTTCGTTCTCTTTCGTTTAGTGCGAGGGAGATAGATGCACTGACGGCGAGACATCTGCTGTTTTCGTTCTCTCTTTTCCAGTCTTTCCTTCACATTCAGATTCCTCGGAGATTGGAACTATATCTATGAGCAGAAGCAAGGCAGATGTTAGCGCGGTAGAGCAGGGAGTCGGTAAGGAAATTGCTTAGAGGTAAGATCAAACAGGTGAACCAACTTCTTCCTTTTCTCAATCTTTGCTTCGCTTCTGTAGAGTGTTTTGTTCTTTGTGGGTAGACCCCTCGCCTTCGCTTGGGTCTTTCTCTTCTTTCTTTTGAAAATGTGGGTGAGTGAAAGCCTTTTCCTACTATATGAGATCAAACTTTTGAAAAAAGAGACATCTAATAAAGGCAGAAAAGCAATTGAGGACGAAAACACGGGGTTTCATGAACAAATGCAATTGGATCTCTCGTGTGTTCACATCCAGAAGAAGAATCTCTCTGCTCCCCTTGAGAAAAAGGTCAAGAGGAAGCTCTTTTGGCACACACAAGCAGGGGTTGGTTGCTTAATTCATGGGCAGGAGGGAAGACAAAGGATCAATAGCGGACTTTTTTATCTTTACAGTGAGGCTTCAGCCTTGTACCCTTTTCATAGCACTAAAAGAATTACATACCCTAAGCTAACCAATCCTTATCTATCTAGGGGATCACGAACTCCTCCACTCTTTCTTTAGCTTTCAAGCCTCCCTTGTGGGGGAGAGCTCGTCACCTTGGTACGATGGACTATCTTTGCCTCAATCGGCAGTTTTGCAGCCTTTTATGAGGCCTACGAATCGCAATCAAGAGGTGAGGGTGGACAAGGAAGAATAAGTCGTAAGGAATGAAGCATCAAGTTTGCTAAGAATCAGTCCGACCTCCGGATTCTACCCCTCACACAAGCTTCAACTACTATGATGTTCTCGCAGCTGGCAGGAGAAGGGGCTCTTCAGAAAGTCTTCCTAAATCATTCGAACGGGCAGGAGAATGAAATGGATCTCAATGCGGAATTGTTGTTCCCCACTGTAGTAGCTACTTTTGGAGCTACCTTCTCGTCAACAAGATACGGCTTCCTGAAGAAGGCATCTCATTTTGAAGCTCTGTGCAATCCTCTCAGAAGAGGTGACTATCTAAATATGCATGGGGGTCATTTTGAGCCCCAACGACAAAGGAATTGAAAGCGAGAAAAGTTCTCAAAGGAACCTACGGGCGGGAAAATTCCTCGCACATAATTATAAGGGAGCCGTTGAAAGCTGACCAAAACACCAGAAACTGGGACTACCCGAGCTAATGATAGAGGCAAGAACACTTTCTTTCCGGCCAGGCCCTTACTATAACCAACCTCACAGATCCAACGAAATCTTTTACACCGATGTATAGTACTCTCTCGACCAGGTCATCATAAGAAAATACTGCTCAATCTTTCCGTTTCCGAAGTGAGAGAAGGGGGGAAGGCGCGCTACAACTAACATAACAGCCAGAGCTGAAAAACGTTAGCTAGCTAGGCTAGCGCGCAATGGCTTTCTCTGATAGGGGCTCGTTTCTTCAAGCTGCTCCGCCCAACCTATACAAGGTGCTGCGCGCTTTCTCTCAGCCACCAGTGACTTATGTAGTGGTCGGCATTCCTCCCTGCCCCCTACTTAAGAAAAAAAAGGTCACCTTTGGATGTTGTCGTGACGCTTTGGTTACGAAGGTTACCGGGGTCAACGGTTTATGGATGGATTCAGTCAGCGAAAGTCCCTCCAACTCAATCAAATCAACAACATGTCATAACCGGTTAGGCTTGGTTGATTTTGTCAGAAAAGAAAGTGGGTTTCGGGGGTTCATTGATTAGTACACCTCCGGTGCTGGTAAGGTCGGGACCGTGATCGTCCTTAGTAGGTTTGCCGGCCGATAAGATCTCTGAGATTGACCAGCCAGCTGGGTTGGTTTGGCTATTCTTTTTTCTATTGAAAAGGAGTCAGCTGTCTGCGCGAGTCACCTTCTTCTAGGCTCCGCTGGACGACACGGCATTCTCGTTCAAATATAGGCCGGCCGTACTTGTGATGGTTCCCAAGGATCCAATATGACCACTTAGGTCTACGTTGCCACGATATTGTTCTATGGAAGCGGGCGGGCTGTTAGAAGTTCGGCCCGGTTTTTTGGTGTCGTAGGGGGAGGGATTGACCTTTCTAACGCATATTCCGTCGTACCGGCATGGCCCCACTTATTTGTTTTCGATCGGAGCATCAAGCAGCGCAACCCGGTTCTACTTGACTAAGCCCCGTGCTCGTCCAAGGAGGGAGTTTGCTTTACCCAACTCCCTTTTTGATAACAAGGCAGAAAGCCCCGACCCGACATTCCATTAGTTTTCGAATGAAGAATTCAGAGTGCCCTGCCCCCTTTTCGAATCCATATTCATCAACACTTATACTATGTATTGGTAAGCTTGTGCCTCCTATCAAAATGAAAAGCGAGACTTTACTAAACAAGCAAGAAAAGCCCTTTCTATCTTATTTATTAGTAAAGCGCTAACGGCGCATCCATTTTCTTGCTCGTTAGCGCAACGGCGTTCTAGCAGCTCAATCCGTTGCTTGTTGCCCCTGCAATCAAACTCAAGTTTCACCTTGATCGATACCCTTTTGACAACCTTTACTAATATAGAAAGAAATGCGCTCAAGCAACCTATCTTACTAATAAGAATGAAGGGCCCTGGCCCTATCTAAGCCCTATCGTTGTAAAGCTACAGCTCGAAAGCTCTTCGAGGCTTCCCTTCTATTATTTAGTAAAGGGCCTTTTCAATAAGGCTCGCGCTAGGCGCTCACGTTTTTTGGCTTCCCTAAAATAGAAGATTTTGAAGTTGGTAAAGACCCGCCCCTTGTTTCAGTCAGAATGAGTCCCCGGGACCCCGGGACATTGGCTTCCGCCAACAGTGAACTATTAAGGATCGCATCCCGCGCATATTCTACATTATAGCCTGCAACTGATTCAGCTTCCGCTTCTGGGAGATCAAACGGAGCTCGATTAGTTTCTGCTAGACAAGAAATGAGGAACATAACCAATACAGGGAACAAGGGAATACCGGACCATATCTGCTTTTGCGCCATGACAATCTCACTCGAATTACGGGGACCTACACATATTAGTACAGTATACCGGGTCCCCGGCCAGAACCACACGTGCAAGTTTCCCTGCATGTGGCTCGTCCGTGCTTTACGAGGCGCTGCCTGAGACTCAGAATGGGAGAAGGGGGGCGGAACTGCACACTTTCGTGTTCAGAGCATTGTCCGAGTGAGTAGGCAGCGCCTACCAAGCAAAGCTTTCTTGAAGAGGCTGGGCTGGTTCCTTTTCGGCGCCCACCTTTATTCATCTATACCAGCCGCCACGCACGACCCAATAGGAACGATTTCAGCGCCCCTCTCTAGATAAGAAGCAAAACGCGCCATCACCTACAGCCCTTTCCTCTGCCGGGGACTTCCACGAAATGAAAACGGGCGGCATCGTCGTATGCTCAACATTTGTTGCCCTGGTTTATATCCCGGAGTACTCCTATGGCCGATCTGTCACCCAACCTACTTAAACAACCGTTAAGGCTTGGCCCCGTTCCGTTTGGAGAATGAGACCCCTTATGGCACGGCTTAGTCAGTTATTCCTCGCAGTTTAGATAAGACTCGGACCGCCACTTCTCTGAAAGCATGGTTCTTGCCCCCCTCTCTCCTCCCTCCTTGGAGCTCGTCCATTCGTTGGGTGATCCCTTGCTCTCACGTTCGAGTGTTTGCTCGTCGTTTAGGCCGGTGAGTGAGATTTCTGCTCATTGCAGTCACCTCCGGGGTTCTTCGCACCTGGATAGTACCAGGACCCTTGTGCCCCGGCCCTTGATCAGATAAAGCTGCCCGACCGAAGCCCGCCCTATGACCCACAACTCAAAATGAGCCTTGCGACGAGACTAAGACATTCCCCATGCTGCGGTTCCCTCCGGTCCGTTCCCGGGTTGGGTTAGGGGAACATCCGAGCAATTGCTTTCTAGGATCCAAACGCGCTCACAAGGCGCACAATAAGAATAAGACCAATAGAGACTTCATAAGGGACCATTTGAGCTGCAGATCGTAATGCTCCTAGAAAGGCATATTTAGAATATAGAGGAGTGAAAGTTCCCAACAATCAACGAGTTGATCATATCCTTCTATGAACCGTACGAGCACGTCCTCTGTTACCCCCCACCGCGCTTACGGCTCTATACCCCAACTTGCTCTGGCCCCGGGTCCTTTCTTTCTATTCCTCGGTAAGCGGACCATGGGAGCATGGGGGGCGGTATCGGCTTTTGACTGATAGAAAGCATCTCTCGTTTGTCCCTCCTGACCGAACCTGCCAAAAAAAGAACAATAGAAAAAGTAGTTCTTGCCGGGAGAGTCGCGTCGGAGACATCTTTATCTGAGGAGGAGGCTTCTTAGTCCGGCTCCTCATAAATGATGTTAGGATCGGCCGGCTCATCCTAGGAATCCGAAAAGAAAAAAAGAGACATAACGGAATCACTTTGTTTCAGTGACATATCTAATTAGACTGAATAGGATTTGAAGAGCTGTAACGATCATTCACATCAATTTCAGCAGGCAGGAAGGGCGCGGACGCAGTAGCCTCTAGGACGAAGCCGAGCCGATACGATAGGCGGGCGAAGGGAGCGAGACCAAGCCGAGCCACTAGTGGAGTGGCGAAGGAGGCCTACTATACGTATACCAGATTAGTAACCGGTGACCAAAAAAACGAAAATTTCAGTGAACTATTGAAGCTATCAGTGTGATTGATCAGACAACGCGGGCTTTCGGTAGACTGATTTCATTTCCGAATTCGCTTGCGACAAGTCCTAGCATTAGTATGAGTTCGTTGACCGCGTACGGGCGATCCATCTTTATGACGAATTCCACGATAACAAGAAATAGAAATGAATCGTTCGATGTCTGCTCGTTCTCCCCTCTTCAATTCCCAATGAACAACATGATCTTGACCTATTATTTGTTCCATTTGGTCGATCTGATACTTAGTTAACTCTTTGATCTTTATGTTCCCACTGATACCTAATCGATAACGAATCTGAATGGCTTTTTGAGGTCCAATTCCATCCATTTTTGTTGAGGCAATTCTTACTTGTTCATCGGCAACTGATCTAGCTCCTGAAATATATGACATTCTTGATCCTTCCTTTGACTAGTCTTCTCGGCTGGAATCATAAATGGGGTGTCTCCTCTCGGAGAATCTTTTGGATAGGTAGAATGTGAGCGGTCTAAACTTCGACCCTTATTTCTGTAAATTATGTTCTCGTACCCAAGCCCTGAAAAAAAAAGATCAAGAGTCTTGTGGAGGAGAATTTCACACTTATCTCACTAAATCAGTGAGAAAGTGCTCCGCTATGGGTCGCGGTC